TATAAAAAACACCACCCACTGGCCAATCAGCTGTTCGGACAGAAAATGACTCCGTTGACAGAAATGCAGCCCAGTCATGACGGGAAGTTTAATTCATTTGATTGATTTTGATTTGAAAGTTTATTTTGAACACTAAAAAGAAAAGAAAGCAACAACAGACAATGAAAAGACTGTTCAAAAAGGAGTGGAAAGAAGTCGAAATTTCATCCCACCCCTTCATAAGAAAGAAACTGATAATTTGCGAACACTTAAAAGCACCATTAATTAGTGCCAACATTTTGTTTTGTTGGAGGAAATGATCCCTGTTAAAGATAATGGGCCTAATTGACAGCTTTCCTGCTGGAAATGTGGAAAGTAGCCTATCATCTCTACACTTCATGGTGTTTGAGGGATTTTCCTTTTCGTTTTTTAAAGAGGGAGACTAGGTATATTTTTGCGCAGCTGTTAATTTCTAACAGCTCAATATCAGGATGATTTTATTCAGACTATCAATTTGGTGTTGATATGATTTAATTGTGGCCTCAGCTTTAAGCTTTATTGTAGCATATATAACGTTATGACAAAGAAGACCAATTTATCAGACGCAATGATGTTAGACGATAATTGTAATACACGCATTTCATCTGTGCAGCATTGATTTCATGAGATTCAAGGGTGTGATCAGTGTCAGATGTACAGGTACAGGTACTGTAGCTACTTGAACCAGTGATGAGTCATTTAACCTACCTTTGTCTTGATTTTTCCCTCTCTCCTCCTCTATTTCTTCTTTCCTTACCCGTTTTTTTTTTCTTCTCTATTAGGCTATGTGATTTCACTGATGTTTTGACAGGGAAATTTCTTTGACAAGCTTTTAGTGGCTTCTAACATCTCCAGCACTTTTCTTTTTTAATCTTGTAAATTTTATACTGTCTGTTTTTAACATTATGTGCAAATAAACTAATCTAAACTAAAACTAAACATTATTCATCCCGTTATGCGTTGCCACGCATGTTTCCTCCTCCTGCAGCTGTCACAGTGTTGTCCTTTTCTGTAATGTTGCTTTTCTCCTCCTCATATTTTAGTAGAATTAATCTCTGATCCTCACGAGAAATACTTTTTTTTCCCCTCACATACGGCGCTCTGTGAGGATGCTCAGTGACGCGGCGCTTCTCTCATGATTGTGATTGGTCCACTGTGTGCGCGTTCACGGCTCTTGATAAAGCAACCCTGGGTTGAGTTACCGAGTTGATATCCAGCGTCGTGATACTGATTATCCTGATTGCCATTGTTAGGGTTAGTCAACCCAGGATAGGTCTGGGTAACCCAGGAAAGGTTGATCTCGCTTCATGATACAGGCCCCTGGACGTGGTTAGTTTTAGTAAAAAACATGGTTTGATTCTACATTCTTAAAGGGGAACTAATGTTTTTTTTCAACCTGGGCCCTATTTTCCGATCCAGCAGACTGGACGGCAATATGATACGCTGTCCAGCCCCATATCATTAACGCAAAAGCAGAAAGCTACATATTTCATTCTGCTTTTGCGTCCTAAGGCTCCTTGAAAGCAGTGGGGATAAGGAGCTAGCCTCCGTTTCAAAGTAATGCAAAAGTAGTGTAATAAGTAAGATATTACTCTACACAAAGAGTAATATTGTAAAGTAACATTCAAATGAAGGTTAACTAGAAAAATATAATATTTTACATTTTGAGAGGAACTTGCCCAACACTACTGCAGGGTCATTTGACCCATGTTTAAATGCAATTTGTAATCTTTCCCAGTACATTAAAAAGCCAGATGTTAGAGGATGTTAAAGGGTTTTTTTGTGCAGTAGAGTAGGGGCTTAAAGAGGCAACAGATAGCATTTTTTCCTAAATATATCTTTATGAAAATAATGTGGGTTGCACAGGGTAGTGGCCACAGTAAAATCAGACTATCAGCATTTACATAGGTTACTTAGTGGCTTTGCAATCTTTGTAATAAGCTTCTGCCACCAGGGGCGAAATTTCGTGGGAAAAATCTGCTTTACGGCAGGAAACGCGTCATGTATTGCAAAACTGGTCAGTCAGCCAATCAGGGACTGGAGCTGGTCCTTATGAAGAGTTGGGCATGTAATAGTTGAGCACAATGGCAGACGGACAAAGTTTGGAAACAAGTGAAAAACGGCCTAGCAAAAGAAAACGAGCTTCTCTGTCTGAGGAGGCAAAGAAGAGCAAAAAGGAGAGTGATAAAAGAAGAGGAAAAACAAGAGTAAACCTCAGTCAGGCATTCAAGACGTGGAGGGAGCTCTGTGACCAAAGAGGCTTCAAAACTGATGTCCAGCTAGCTTTCTTTCTAATGGATCAGTAAGTAACACAGCTAAATGTTAGCTATACGAGAGGACTGTACTGTACTGGCTGCTAGTTCATTCCTAGCTGGCCAGCATCGCAAATCGCCGCAACAAGGGACCGGGTAGCAAGTGTTGGTCGGCTGACATCCTCGTTGCCATTCTGCGGCAGTCCTCGGACAGTGAGGGCAGCCTTTGCAGCTACTGGGCACCCAGCATCTCCGACCGGGAGAAGTGGAGTAAAATCCTCTCCTCCACTCCCGTTTGTCTGATGAACGCCTCTCCTCTGTCAATACACTCTGCCAGCAGTTTAATAATATTGATTCAAGTTGTAACATTTGAATGTTTTAGTAGTAAGTAATTATTTACATTACTATTTGCTTTTTCTTCAGATACATGTTATAATTGTTGCTCTGTCACTTTACTCATTTATTTAGTAGACTGTCCACACACCCTCTCATTCTACATATACATAGAGGTATGCCAGTGGCTTTACAGCCTACATTTTATTGATTATCTCTGATCCCCACGGTCAATTTGGTCATTGCGACAGTGTGAGCAACACCGCTGACGCTAGGTGGCGCCAAGCTAAAAAAAAAAAAAAAACGAATTCTATCTGTTGCCTCTTTAAGAGATGTTGAACAAGACCCACTGTGTGAACCTCCTGAATCATTTAACTGATCATATGAGGCAGGCCTCAGATTATGTCAGAAATGGAGGAAGCATTACAGTTGCCACTGCATGTAAATGTAAAAGGTATTTTACCTGTGTGAGTCAGGTGATGGTCTGATCGCAGCCAATATTGGTTGAATCAGAGATAGTGTTAGAACGCAACAGCCTAGATATGGATGAACACCTGCATGCTACACACACACACACACACACACACACACACACACACTAGTTTTATTTACATATTCCAGTGATATAATGTCAGTGGGAGTAGGGTTGGAATCACATACAAAAACAACACAGTCTTCAGAAATCAGAGACACTGATACAAACAATATCTGTAAGTTCAGAACATGTCGTATTTTATGTGTATCTTACTATCTTATTTTACTATACAATGACGAAAACTCTGTCTGTGGGTGGGTGTGTCTGTGTGTCTGTTCCACATTTTCCTCCTCACTGACTTGGTCAATCCATGTGAAATTTGGCAGAGTGGTAGAGGGTCATGGGATGATGTGAATGAAGCAATATTACATCAATTGGCCAAAGGGGGGCGCTATAGCAACTGATTGAAATTGCAAACTTTGAATGGGCATATCTCATGCCCCGTATGTCGTAGAGACATGAAACTTTGCACAGAGATGCCTCTCCTCATGAGGAACAAATCTGGTCTCAAGAACCCATAATTTCCAGTTATATGAATTTTCCGCCATTTTGAATTTTTTGAAAAACACTTCAAATTGATCTCTTCCTAGGAAGTTTGACCGATCTGCATGAAACTCAGTGAACATAATTTAGGGACCAATATCTAAAGTTCCCTCTTGGCAAAAGTTGGAAAACTTACTAAAACTGAGTTTCTATAAGGCAATGAATATTGCGGAGGGCGTGTCTCATCACATAAAGGTGTATAACATCTCAAGGGTTTCACCGATCACCACGCAACTTTGTACGCATATGACCACACATAATCTGAGGGGCCCCCTCCATTATTGACCCCATCAAACAAAATGGAGGCGCTAGAGAGCTAATTTCCTATCTAGGCCTAACCGCCATATGAATTTTTACTAAACTTGGTAGATATGTAGAACAGGACGTCTCAAGGTGACTGGAGAAATTTAACTCTAATTGGCAACTGGGTGGCGCTATAACAACAGAAAAATGCTTAAAAATGGCT